CTGTAGCTGATGGTAGTATGATCAATTTGAGACCACGGTTGTGTTGGCGAAATGGGACGCCCGGTTGCTGAACGCTTCTTCGTATGCCTGAAGTTGATGCTTGAGAGAAACAGATGGTTAGCTTCGCACAATGTGAGAAGCCTCACTCCGTTATCAGAGCGGTCCACATCAAGCGCGTGATGAACACCAAGGTGGTGCTCGTATGGTAACAGGCGACCAACCCGTGCACTGAAATCTCCAGCAAGGACAACAACATCCGACATTTTAGCGTTACTCAAGAGCTGATGAAGCTCCCGATAGAAGTCGTCCTTGACCGAGCCATTACTGTAGTCAGTTGAAGCGTACGCGGACAACACAAAAAAGTTGCGTCTCTCCTCGTGAAGCTTGTTGATTATACATGAATTCCGAAGCCGAACTGCACACAGTCGGTTGTTAATCTGGAACCAGTCCGGTAGTGCCGCCTTGATCTTGCCAACTACACCAGCCAAACCCGCTGACGCTTCTGGATCTCCAGAAAGACGCAGGTGATATCGGACTTCGTGGTCAGTGGAGGATGTCAGTGTAAACACAGTGCTGGGGTACTGTTATCGGGTTTCCGAAAGGCAGCAGACATCAATATCGAGGAAGCCAAGGGTGCGCGCTAGACCGGCTTGCTGTCCAATCGGCATGAGCGTCCATAGGTTGAAGCATGCCAGACGTAAGGAGGAACGGGGTCGAAGGAGAACCATAGGTTGAACTCCATGGTTCATAGTACAACCGGAATAGCAGCCAGATTTTGAACACAGGAATCGAGTAACGGATAGTAAGGATTGTTAGCAAACAAACAACAGGCATATAATGAAGTCGCGCGAATGCAAGTAGATTGAAAGCAAACTGAATAAAAAGAAAATGGAATCAAGTAAGGGGTGAACATAATCAATCGGGATGAAATGACTATTAACAGCTAGATTAAAGAAACCAAATACAGGAACATCATGGACTGGTAGAGTCTCTAACCATTAGTGTGGACCATCCCGAGGTCCCCATTCAGAAACACGACACGCACCAAGCTGATCAAGTCTCTCAGACAATCACTTTACGTCTTATGATACGTAATCGACTGGCCACTAAGCGAATTCGCACAACTTAGTGAAGTCAGGGCGTATAATGCTCGCCGAGGAGGCCGGAAAGATTTGACCTAGCTAACATAAGCGATCAAGTTTAAGCAAGCACTCGAGTAAAGCACCAGAAGGCTTCTAACCAACAACTAGCTGGCAAAACGCAGCAGTGCTAAATCGGTGTTCCATTAGATGTGAGTAATATTTCGCAAGCATGGGCGATCAAACACGGCAAAGCAACTGATGCCCTCACTGCGAACTTGCCAGGTCTAGGGACCATACAGTAACAGCGGCTTTACAGCAACATTATGCACCCTGCCTCTCACAGACAGGCGGATCACCAGCCGAATAAGCAGCTTTTTACTGATATGCGAAGTAACCTCCTCAAAGATGTGAATATCAAAGGTGACAGAACAACCAATACAAATGTATCGACCCAGTGGTTATTCGCTGATAGTTAAAACCGGCGGTGTCAATTCAGTCCTACGACAATACTATGCAATTTAAAGGTGTAAGGTACATGCCAAAGCGTGCAACGCTAGGCACCAGTCTATCCAGTAGTGATTGCATAGCCACTGCGTCAGATCCAAGGAGAGCTATGTCGTCCGCATATTCAAGGTTCGTTAGTCAGTCACCCGGCAGAACTTTCACTCCGGTAGTCTGAAAGAACACAGTCAGTCATGATCCTTTCGAGGACAAATTTGAAGAGAAAATGAGGTATTAGGACAACCATGGAGAACTATAATTATCATGGCGAATCTAGGAGGTCGCTCCCCGAAAACCTGTAACCGGTCTCTGGAGCCACGGCATAGAGTGCATAATGGGAAAGAGTTCTTTGGCACGCCATTTCTGGATAGGCAGTGCTACAAGCTGGCACGATCAACAAGGTCAATGGCAGCCTTCATGCCAAATAAAACCACCATAGTCTGCCATCTGTGTATTTGCTCTAACACTTGACGAAGAGTATGTGGTCGATGCAACTACGATTAGGGCAGAAGCCATCCTGAATTTCAGTGATTCGGTTCTTATGAGGACTAATAAGTCGTCGAGTAATGACACCCGTGAGAATCTTGGGGACAGTGAAGATAAACCTAGTGCCTAGATGATATTCGTACAAAGTACTTCGACTCTTCATGATGAGCACGAAAATTGAGTCACCACTTCAGTGTCCAAAATAGCGTTGAACAGAGCAACTAGTCAATGGAATCACATCCATCTTTCAGTGAAGATGGAGGTAGGTCTTCGGGTCAAAGAGCCTTGTTTCGTTCCGTACAAATGTCATCCGAAATGGGAGCTGTGATAGTAACTTCCATAGTGGGCTCAGATGATTCAACAAGTGCCACAGTCGCAGCTGAATTTCGGAATTGCTCTTCAGCTAACCCTGGCCAAGGATAACGGGACACTGAGGTAAGCTGACTTCGGTCAAACTGTAGCACATAAGTAAACTACTGAGGGTTAGTCCATATTTTCGTCTACAATACTGACCTTCAAGTAATCTGTGCAACTTGAACCAACTGGGTCGACTTCATTTGTTTAGACACTATGTATGAAGCGTTGAGAGCAACTGGTCAACAAATAGCCTTTGATTCTTCAAACCGTTCCGCCAGATGGGCCAGTCGACGCGGATGAGAGTGGACTAACTGTTCATCCTTCTCACTTATTGTGCCGGCCCGTAGCCTAAAGGTAACGAGGATGTCTTGCAATCTGGCGGCGCGGGTTCGCAGTATCCTCGCAGTATCCTAAGGCCACGTGTGACCGGTGGTGGTTGCGCGGCAGCGAAGCGTCGGTACCGCGTACCGGGGTACTGCTGAGGTCTGCCTCACTTACTGTTTCACTGACTGAAAACTTTCTTGGACCCGTGTCCGAATGCGATAAAACAGAACACGACTGTCTCCAATAGCACTCGTATTTTTCAATTTACAGGGCGGAAAAGCGCATATTTTGTATTTTTCTGGTGACCAATAAATATACAAGCTAAACTGGTCCCAGTGGACTGTCCATGGCCACGCTGCCGATTTGTCGATGCAGGGTTCCGTGGAATTGGAACTGGACATCTGTCATGTACGTTGATGGTCCTTGTAGATGAGCTACTCATTTCACACATTGCATGCAAACAGCTGACAAAAATATGCGAAATTCGGATTATTCTGTTAAAACGTGATTCTTAGTAATGTTGTAGAGCTGTACACGGATGGCCGGCCATGAGAATTCAATCAACTAACGATGACTCGGCTATGGGGCTTACCATAACGTTGACCTGTGGTTGCCATATCAGCGTCGATGGACTCGTGTGCCCAATAGAGAGACGAAGCTGGACGCAGTTAATTCTCTAAACGAGACAGGATCGTTAGCCATGGAGTCCGAGATACAGCATATGTTATGACCAAAAGCATGCAGCACACATTCAAATTCAGTATTTTGAACACTGCCAAGGAAACAGGGCAGCGTGGCTCGATATAGGGCTGTTATTAATATGAGTCCCATAAGTACTGCGGGAATATAGATGCAGATGGTAGGATTCCAACTGGATTGCAGCTGATGTTAACTACGTTCGGGATTGTATACGGAAGGTGGGGAGGGTGCAAAAGGCTCAAGTGGAAAAGAAAGGAAGCATCAGTAGTAAGGTAATTTGGCTGATCTGCTTTAATATGTGCATAAGGCGTCAAAGCGGATGCAGAATGGGGTAATAAGGCCGGTGGTAAACTCATTCGTGGTTGTACGTGGGCTGGGACGCAATAAAGAAACCTAAACCAAAATAAGAAAACAAGTATGGTCCCAAAGCAAGGCCCTTGGTTCAAAAATAAGGTAGTGGGGAGAAAAAAATGACCCGGATTTACAGAAATGAGTACCACAGTTCTAACCGCCAATCTAATGGGCAAGAATAATGGATTCATCTGATCACTGATCACCGACCAACCGCGTAGGGTCAGCTCTCAAGAGGCTCGAGGGCATCATTCCCCACAGCTCAATGAGTCGAAAAGATACGTAAACAGCCGAAGCATTGTAGGGTCAAGTGCCAACAAGTAAGCAACATTAGACTCCGTTGAGGCAGCACCAACTATAGTGACTAGATCGTGTTCTTCAGGTGTCTGTCATCGATTGGCATCACTCTGTCTACTTAGATGATTTCAGGGCACTCAATTGGTGACGGAAGATGAGTCCCCTCTATAGTCTCTCTAAATGAAAGCGTTTAGTAAAATGAATCAAGGGAGGCAGAATCTGAGTAAAGAATTCTTTTCGGCAATTCTCATCAGACTCAAACATTACATGAGGAGGAAAAGTGCTAAATGTGCGTTTAGGGCTGGTTACATAAGCAATCAGAAGCCATAACCAACATGGGTGTCGCGAAGTCAGTGGCGTTACTAAAATTTGTATCGACAACCGCCCTGATAAACTTTGTATTGCACCCGTCATTTTGTTTGCGCAGCGTGGTAACCGAATTAAAGTACTTTGGATTTAGAGCACTGTTGTCCAATCAAATTTGCACAACTGCTTAAACGAAGGCAATTGTGTAAGCACTGCGATTCCCGCTTTCGACCTCAGTCAGTAAGCCGAAAAATTCAAGAATACCTAGTTCTACGAATCATGTCTTTCCGATCTGTTTGCAGTTGTTTGATACTAGTGGTATTAGGTGTACCGTTTCACCCGAACCGTGTAGAAGCCGCCAGTATTGCTGTTAATATAAATATACTTCACAGCTGGCCCGTGCCGTCACTGCTCTCACGAGAACCATTCGTATCCTAAGCTCCTATATAAACGTTGTCTTGCGCAAACTTCGTGGTTATTGCTCACCGGATATGGGTAATTAGTGACTATACGCCTCAATGGGGACCACAATCAGCCTAGAATGCCGAAAACCGATCGGCCGTATCAAGTGATAATTTCCATGAATAACAAACTTACTGCATTTAGGAGAGGAGATAGAACATCTTCAAGTCTTTGATTAACTCCGGGCGTGGCAGAAGATTCCGAATCTTCTTTAATGTATGTTGAATCACTAGTCTCCTGCCCGACGAAAGAGGAAAGAGTGGCAAATGGGGCAGTTGTCGGATAGTGGGGAACAAGAAGGGGCACGGTAGGGAGGTTTGCATGGGTTACATTCATCGTCAGCCCCGAATGAGGAGAGGTTGGAGATTCGCGGACGGTTCTCCTCGGCATAACAGGACGCATTATGGTATGCGACGTTCAACAAATAAGGAAGACCCGTCAAAAATCTGAAACAGAGAAATCGGATTCCAGTAAATCAGCAAAACGGGATGATGGTAACAACACAAAGGAAGTCAGTGGAAAAACAACATGCGGTGGACAGCATGTCTCTGGTAAAAGTTAATTAAACACCCAGTCCGAAACGAAGTGTTAGGTGTGAGAAAAATAAACGCATGGGGAATGAGTGCGAAAAAGGGTTAAACGCCCTGAGTTCGACTCTTCTGATAGAAACAACTTGAGTCAGGAGTGGGACCCAGTACGTAGTGATTGACGGCTTGCACCTTCAGGGCATCGCGAGAAGCGCTTAACACAGCGGTCAGAAGCTCGTTTTTGGGTCTTGGAGTACCAACTGTGTGTCAGGATAGCGACGTACAATCTCAAATGGGATCATGGCTTACTTTGTGATAAACCCCAGTTATTAGGACCGCGCCCGACACGGAAAGTTTTAGTGACGCTCCCTCCCAACACCGCGCTCCACGACTGATCGGTTTCGCTCTGATTTGGACTCGTCAGGTAGAGACAGCCTGAGCGGAGAAGGTAACAGGGAACATAGTGTTTGATGGCTTAAGCCCTGATCAATAGGGTTTGCAGGGAACAGCAATCAAGCTTTCCACTTGAGATGCAGTCCGGTGAACGAAATGGCAGAGGTGCACTGTAAAGTAGACCGTAATCCAGTTAAGATAGCTTGTCGCAATACAGACACACGGGGGTATTCCAAAACCTAACAATGAAGGGTTAATTGTCAGTCAGGACCCTCTTCATTCTCCGTCATGACAAACACCGAGGTGGTTGTTTAATCATGACGGCGAAGAGGCAAAAATGGGGGTAGTAAACTGGAGCGAGAGGCTGCTGCCAATATTCAATCCCTTATGTTAAAAGGCGCATAAATTATCAACTTTAGATGTTTCAAAAGCGCAGGGACAAACAACATTTCAGCGGAATAATCGGGACTGTGTATTGCGCGTATTCTCTTCAGCCGGTTACATATAATGGGCGAAAAGCAACTGGTTGGGAACGACAGGTTAATAACAGAAGTCGGTGGTTAGTTGTGTCGGCGAAATTGTCACGCCCTACCAAGGTAAAACAAGTTATTTGCATATGTTAGGCATCAAAGACCGAGTGGCAGGAGCTTCAGCAAAACACAATAATCCGGAATTGTTCGGTTTGTTGATGGCCCTGTATGCCTCGCAAAGAATTAGACACATCAAGCAATCAAGTAGGAGCCGAGTAACAGAACTAATAGGTAAGGTTGCACTACTGAGAGCTAAGTTAAGTGGAATGTGTTCCGAAATCCGGGTAGACAACCTCTCTGTTTTCATAACCGTCGACTCGTCCATCCGCATTGGAGCATCCGCTACTGGGTATTAAGCTGATGCGGAAAGCGCATGCCCAATGTTTCCGAAAATTTCCACTTCGGATGCGGAGGTTTGTAACAATGCAAACAGTAGCCTCAAATAAGAGTGTGTCGCGACCCACACACTCGGCGCGTGCTCCAAGACCCAATACTCAACGAGTGAACCAAACTAAGAGCGAGCAGCTCCTACTTGAACCCAGACGGCAGAATCAACATACCGAATAAAAGTCCACGTTCTCGACTATGGAGGCACTGCCCCATCTCTTAAGTGGCATTGATGAACCGCCTAGTGATAGATTATTAAGATGAGCTGGCTGTACAGGCGTACTATCTGATCTATTGGTAGTATCAGAAGACGGAGGTTGTGGGATGACACCGTCATTTCGTACATGCAACTAACACAAGGTCACATGAAAACGGTGGTCAGCTGTTTTCTGATTGGGGCGTTATACGCTACCATGCTAGACTGGTTCACTGCCAGCCGTTTTTGGGCACAGAATGGTTGGTGCTGTCGATCTATAAAAAGGACCTCAAGGCTTTTAAAAATGTGCATCAAATGCTTCGTAATTACTGAGACAACCTTGCTTCTGGACACCCGTAGTGTAACTGTCGCGTGCTCCATCCATTTATGAAACCACTTTGAAATGCACTCATGGATAAGGACACCTGCATTTCGATTAATGTGCCTCAATAGCTACATGTGAACCTGTAAGAGAAAGAGCCGCGCATTGCTTCGACACCAGCGTATCTATCGAGTAGTTAAACAGTAGTCTTGCAAATACAAACAAGCGTAGCCCTGCTGCATTGTACGCTAGAGATCAACTGAGCAAATGCGAACCGCGTCGTACATTGAGATTGCGAGTCGCAAGTGCTTCTAACTCCCACGCGCATCCATTGCGAATTGAGACCATCACCAGAGAATAAAGCAAGCAGGGTTGACGGAGAAGGGTGGTACTTAGCTAACGTCGCAGGATGCAGATTTTCGACGTTCGGTCGGTAGTGCGTAAACGTCTGGATGATCCTATGAAAACCATGCAAATTTCGGTGCGAACCAGGGTGTGATCGGAGTCCAGACAAGTTGAACAGTAGGATCGGCAGTCTGTTACGCTTCCGCGCCATCTGTACCTTATTGCTACGTGGACAAAATTGGACTATGCTTGTATTTGGGAACGCGAACGTCAAAGCAGCAGCCTGCCTTTTCGAACGACGAAAACTTGTACTCGAAAGATGATCCGAACAAACGGTCAGTATTCTGTCTCCATTATCCGGTCGGCAGCTAAAGAGGTCAAAACAAGCACCAAGCTGGTGCTAACTTGGCGGCAGCCGCCCAACTCGTGCCATCAAATCTCCGGCAAGAATGATAAGGTCAGACATTCTAGCTGAACGCAGAAGCTCATTAATCTGTTGGTAAGAGCAAAACTTGAATGCATGCGGGATGCAGTCTGTACAGGCGAAGGCGGAGAAGACAAAACAAGGCACGCGTAACATCCTGGCGCCAGTCGTGGTGGGACGACGTTCCTCGAGGGCTCATCGCAGTTGCAGCGGGACCAGCGTCCTCATTGAGTGTTTGTCTAAAAGCCTCGCAAAACATTCCTCCGAAGGTGCGTCAACAATTTTCTTAGGTAAACTATTCCACTCATACACCACGCAGGTGGACAGGGTGAGGCCTGAGTGAGCGTGGAGCCTTCGTGGTCTGAACAACTTCAATTTGTGACCTCGTGTCGAGCAGTCGGTGTTGGGGTGGAGGAACTGCAGTACCTCGTTTCCGAGTTCACCAAGAAGGATGCATATAGTGTGGATGAGATCGCCGCGGCGACGGCGAAACTCCAAGGAAAACAGGTTCACCTGGTGAATTCGGAGAGCGTAAGGAATATTGCGGAGCCAGAAGGTAGCTTTCCAGGCACACCTCTGGACGTTCTCTAACAAAGAGCATTCAAAGTTAGGGGGAAAACGGCTGGCTGCCCATATGCTAGTATGGGATGTACGCATGCGGTGAATAGAGGTCAGGAGATCTCAGGGGTCATCCGGGAGAAGGACCTTCTCAAAGCACCTAGAAGTCTCTTTGTAGCTACAACCTTCTTCAGTGTGTCCTGGGACGTCCTAAAGTCAGAGGATAGGATGACCCTAAAATCCTTTCCTTGAGTGGTTCTTGAGAATAAATCTATTAATGTGGTATGTGCCGTATAAGTCGGTGTCACCGATTGGGAGAGCCGCACATTTATTGCGATTTACTTGCTACCGCCACCAGATAGACCACTCGTGCAGCGTATCTAGGGCCCCTTGTAATTTGTCGGCATCGTCTACGCTGGATACTGTTGACCAGAGCGTAAGATCGTCAGCGTCGGTTCGGAGTGTAACCGGAAGGCCGTTTATGTACAATTTGAAAATTTCGGGTCCAAGTACATATCCGTGTGGAACTCCACTTGTCATTGGCACAGGGGTGGATGTGCTTTGATTGACCTTTACGCGTAACCTGCGGTCTCTTACGAAGTCGGCGATCCAGGAGAGGACTTTGCCCGTCACACACATCTGAAGTTTGAGCAGCAGTCTTTGGTGAGGAACTTTGTCAAAGGCTTTGCTGAAGTCGATGAAGACCACGTCAATATGTTTTGGGCATCTATGGCTTGTGCCCAAGTTTCTCTGGCGAGTAGCAAGTTGGAGACGCACGAACGTGCTCGCGTCGTATTAGATCGAGGGGGGCTGAAAGGCAAAGAAGATACTTCGTATGACTACCAGGAACATTCACCTACAACTTGACGAAAGAAATGTGGAGACGACACAAACATCTGAACTGTGCATCGCAATATTCCATAAACAATGCTCAGCGATTCCTAGAAAAGCTCAAAGACCTGCTAATAGATGATGATGATGATGATGATGATGATGATGATGATGATGATGATGATGAGGATGAGGATGATGATGATGATGATGATGATGATGATGATGATGATGATGATGATGATGATGATGATGATGATGATGATGATGATGATGATGATGATGATGATGATGATGATGATGATGATGATGATGATGATGATGATGATGATGATGATGATGATGATGATGATGATGATGATGATGATGATGATGATGATGATGATGATGATGATGATGATGATGATGATGATGATGATGATGATGATGATGATGATGATGATGATGATGATGATGATGATGATGATGATGATGATGATGATGATGATGATGATGATGATGATGATGATGATGATGATGATGATGATGATGATGATGATGATGATGATGATGATGATGATGATGATGATGATGATGATGATGATGATGATGATGATGATGATGATGATGATGATGATGATGATGATGATGATGATGATGATGATGATGATGATGATGATGATGATGATGATGATGATGATGATGATGATGATGATGATGATGATGATGATGATGATGATGATGATGATGATGATGATGATGATGATGATGATGATGATGATGATGATGATGATGATGATGATGATGATGATGATGATGATGATGATGATGATGATGATGATGATGATGATGATGATGATGATGATGATGATGATGATGATGATGATGATGATGATGATGATGATGATGATGATGATGATGATGATGATGATGATGATGATGATGATGATGATGATGATGATGATGATGATGATGATGATGATGATGATGATGATGATGATGATGATGATGATGATTAGAAGCAGCGAGTAGAGCATACTCTGTGTAGCTGCAGCAATTGTCGCTCTTGGACATTAACGTATTAATTATCGTTCCGCTCTTTATATTTTGCCTCTGCAAAGTGTTTGCCTAGAAGCTTCTTAAATTCGGCCACTGAATTCGCCTCTATTACCGGCTGCGGCAGGTTGTTCCAAGTATTCACCACTCTACGTTCGAAACAGAGTTGGTGAGCTACCCGCTTCAACTGCGGTACGATAAGTTTGTACCGGTGTCCTCGCGTGCCGCTTGGTGTGCGCAGATGATGATGATGAAACAACGATATCTTTCGAGGTGACTGCCCTCTTTACGTCCGCCAACTTGCAAGTGACAAGTCATCACAGAACGCCTGAACAGCAGTGAACAACCAATCGGGAGCATAACAACCGGAAACGTATGCAAGCTACTCCAGTTGTGTCTGTTAACCTAGTTCTCTTTCAACGGGAAGATCTACGATCAACTGAAAGGCGCGCCAATGGGTTCACCTATATCGGGACTCATGGTGATGGTGATGCAGAAATTGGAGGGAAATATAGTCCACCTCATTAATCCGAAAATGTGGGTCCGATAGGTTGACGACACTTTTGTCGTGCAGTCGCACAGTAGCTATTGAACAACGCCCTTGAAGACATCCGGTTTACGATGGAAATGAAAAATGAAAACCAACTCTTTCCTGGATGTATTAGCAACCAGAACCATATATATGTATATATATATATATATATATATATATATATATATATATATATATATATATATATATATATATGTATATATATATATATATATGGTTCTGGTTGCTAATACATCCAGGAAAGTGTTGGTTTTCATTTTTCATTTCCATCGTAAACCGGATGTCTTCAAGTGCGTTGTTCAATAGCTACTGTGCGACTGCACACTGTATTTGGGGAATCAAGTGCACACAAGGCGGTGGCTGGACCGTAGTCCGCTCCACACTGAGTGCATGGAACCACTCTTCGAGCCTAACACGGCCACAAGAACCGTGCACCCCGTCCCCTCCAGCAACGACCAACTGTCTCCTGGAGCCAGTATGGACGAGGTAGTGGGTAATAGACAGGTAGGCACCTTGTCAACATGCACATCAAGCGCAGCCACACCGGGGTTATCAAACAACAGCCAATCACTTGAGAGAGAGAAAGAAAAAAGGGAGAGAAAAAGAGAAAGAGAAAAACTCGATTAATGCATAAGGAAACGGTGACATAAACCTTAATTAAATAGCATACGTAATAAGTTGTTTACAAACAAATCCTAGCTAAGTGCACGAGGTCAGGAAGTATAGTTCACGGAATGCCACGAACACAAAAATGTTATGGAAATCGAATATAATTGGCTGAAGCGATGTGTGCGAGTTAATGGAATAGAGTACAGGGAGATATTTATATGAGAAAGAAAAGCATTAAGGTAAAAACTGTAAACCCACCACCTGAAATAAAGAGACTTAGCATGCAAGCACGCGGTTAGTAAATCGAATTCAGCGTGCCTACAAACGCTGCGCCGGCTCGTCGTAATTCTCTGCAGGACCCGTCGTCGCTTCTGTAGTGGCGCCAAATGGCACAGCGCATGGCCCACTAGACATTTATATGAGAAAGAAAGGCATTAGGAGAGAACCGAAAACCCAGCACCTGAAATAACGAGACTTAGCATGCAAGCATGCGGTTAGTAAATCGAATTCAGCGTGCCTACAAACGCTGCGCCGGTGCTGCCTACGTTCACTGCGGGACCCGTCGTCGCTTCGGCAGTGGCCCCGAGTGACCTCTCTCATGGCTCACTAGGCCTGCCTGACTAAGTCACTCGCGACCGCATGTTCTACAGCACAATGCGCTCGATGTCGATGGAGTACAATTCATCGGTGCTTGCCGCTTCCGCAACTGCCGCTTCTTCTCTGCATGCATGAGGGATTTCTCCCGCACTTCAGCAACTGCCTTCGTGATTAGATCGCGCCATGCACCCACGATCAACCGCCTTCGATTCCATGATCTGCAATCAAGATTAGAACGTG